CTTCCCGACTTTCTTCATTCAGGGATATTTTCTTCCATGATGCGCTAATCTCTACATGTATAGCTGAAAACCTCTATAGTTAGCTATTTTTCGTTTTTCAATTTCATTTTCTTTGGTTTTTGGCAAGTAATTTTCCAAGTTAAACAATCAATGTTCTGTTGTCTTTTTCTACTTTCCTCTCCGTCTATTCAACAAGTTTCTTTCTTTTCTCCCACTTCCTCTGTTCATTCTTTATTTTACCTGACTGTAAAATATCAATCTTATCCTTACAGAACATTGCTCATAAAGGAATGAATGCAGTGCTACCGCCCTTTTATGTGACTGTCTCTTGTGTTATCCTTCATTAGATAAAATGGTTTTGGTTTATGTCATTTATTCTTGCTGTTCTTTGTTCGTTTCGTAGATTTTGTAATGATTAGAGATTTCCCGATTTTTCATTCGATTGTGTCATCGGATATTTAGACATTTGTTTTGGATTGAATTTATGGGAACAGGAATTTTCATGATTTACATGCGTGAACGAGAAGAATCTATTTCTGTAGAGGAAATAAAGGGTTCAATTCAGTTGGCACACATCTGTAGAAGTCTGGGTAGCAGAATGATTAAAACCTTGTGATAATAATAAGAAAGATATGAACATTATTTTGTATTTAAGTAATGTAGATAGATCTTTTTTTTTATAATTTTCTTTCTCCAAGTAGTTTCTTTATTCGGTGTTCTAAGCTCCTCTCCTAAGTATCTGCGTCTTCAAAGCTATGGATTATCCCAGGGAATCTTGCGCGTCTGTTCTATATTATCCAATATTCTATTCCTCTTTGAGACGGTTACACTCGCAGTCAGAAAAACGAAGAATTCTTTATGTGCTGCTGCTTCTGTTTTTTCTTATTTCCTATCGTTTTGTGATATTTTATAAATTATTAGAGTCCGGGATTGTGAAATGTGCTAAAAATATTAGTTAACATTCTGTCTGGTTTTCGCATAATTATATTAGTTATCTTTCATCTATTCTCTTTCTGTCATCATCGATAAGCTCTCGGTGGCTAAATTATTATTATTATTATTATTATTATTTATTATTATTATTATTTCCTTTGATTTCTGGCGTTTATACATTTCTTTCCGGGTCCCGCCCAGGGACCTAAGGTTAGAAATGGCATCATGACACTTTCCACTGACAAAAAAAAAAAAAAGAAAAAAAAATTAGATAAAGTCCTTCGTAAAGTGTGGACTGTACTTGTCAGAATAAGTATCACTTTGATGAATGGACTTCCAGGAATCCCTTCAATTAGTCTACTGCAATCTTTTTAAACCAATCCGAGGGCTCCAAGTACAACAGGGATTGTTGATGTTCCCATATGCCACATTTTTGGGATCTCGATTTCACGGTCCTTGTATTTTGACAACTTTTTGAATATCTTCAAAGATACATTGCAGTCTGCAGGGACTGCCATATCAATAAGGAGGCACCTTTTTTGTTTGTGGTCTTTAATAACAATATCTGGCCGGTTGGCCTTGATTGTTCTGTCAGTGTGTATTGTGTAGTCCCATAGAATTGTAACAGCTCCTACCTCCGTAACCGGGTCTGGGTGGTGTTCATACAAGTTTCTTTCAGTTTCCTTCCCGTAGAAGTTGCACTCATTATTACTATTATTATTATTATTATTATTATTATTATTATTATTATTATTAATGCATGAAATAGAAATAACGTGATACTAGCGTACAAATATAGGAAGCTGTATCTACTCTTGACCCGCAGTCTGATATGAAAATACCAGGTACATGTGTCACAGCCGAACGTGCGTTATATGGTGACAGGTTTTGCAAAGAGCAACGTATCACCTAGCAGGCCGATTAAACCAATCTACGTGAGTCTCTGATTGAGAGAGTTTTTGAATATCAAGTTACCTTGACTGCCTCCTTCTGCCATTCATGATGACCCCAACAATTATATTCGCCAATGTACAGAGATGCACAATTTGCCATCCCCCTAAGAGACATGTCCAACTGGTTATGATCAGAGAAAGCAGACAGTCAAAAATGTGATACTATTCGGCAGGGTTTTCCAATGTTGGCTCCACGGAGATCTAGGGCCCCGTAAGAGACTTACAGGGATATGCAAATCTGTTGTATTATTTCTTTCAGGCTATAGTTCAAAAAAGAAAGAAAGAGAACTTTTTTAAACACAATATAAAAAATGTCATGACAAACACTGACTTGCCAAAATAATTATAAATTAAATGCTATTTTTTTTATACTTTTTCAGTGACAAAATGATTAAAAGACGCATTCGTAAAATAATTTTCGTAAGATATTCTGTACGTGTCACAAAATGGAGGTATAAAAATCGGCTATATGCTACAAGTTACATAAAATCATGCCTTACTTTGATAAACTTTGCATTACAGGCTGAATAACTGTAGTATAGACATTCAGTTTAGTGTTTAAGTTTTTTAATTGTAAGAATTAAGTATTTAAATACTTAGTAAATTTATTCTTT